AGAGCATGAACAGGGGAGGGGCAGAGAGAGAGGGAGACACAGAATTGGAAGCAGGCTCCAGGCTCTGAGCCATCAGCCCAGAGCCCGACGCGGGGCTCGAACTCACGAACCGCGAGATCGTGACCTGAGGTGAAGTCGGACACCCAACCGACTGAGCCACCCAGGCACCCCTAAATTAAGTCTTTTTATAAGTATATAATGAAATGTTTAAGTTGGAAATTTTCGGTAATAAAATATTTTCTGCAAGCTATTTTTTAACATCTCCAAGAAAATGTAAATTCCAATAGTAGATTTAAGAATAGTGTTTTCCTTCTTTCTTTCAGGCAAAGAACAGAGCAGTACAATATTTACACTATGTAGAACGGTACGAAGACCATACAAGTGAGTGTTAATCATTTGTAGGATTACACTTGTTTCATTATATGTGACAATATATCTCTAAGGCCATCTTCGCGTTTCTCTGCTTGTTACCATGTTCTGGAACAAATAATTATATAAAATGCATAAACAAATTTTCTTCCCTAGTGATGAGTGAAATCAGAATCTTGTCACTCATCCTTGGCCAATGTGTGCTGGCTGCTTTGGTAGCATTAGTTCTGTGGTGGCATTTGCAAGGGCATTAAAGCTACACACCTAATCCTTATGCTTATGTTTTTATCCTCCAGTATTCCACGATATTTCTTTAACATTTAAAAGGACGCATATCAAGATGAAGAAAAAACCCAGAGGTAACCGAAAACACTCTTATAATTTGTTAAAGATAAAGCAGAGTAATTATCACAATTCCATCCTGTCCTGTATTTTTGATCAGTTGTATTGAACTCATTTTGAAAATACCAAAATGGAAAGGCCTGAGTTTCATTTAAGAAGGCCGAGGCTCCCAGGGAAATAAAATATAGTCAGCGCACTCAGGCTCCTGTGAACACAGGCGTGTACCAGGGGTAATTCTAGGTGGGAAGAGCGTACTGAGTAGGAAATAGTAACGGAATGAATCATTGGGTTTGGATAAGTGCGAGCATTCATTTCTCCTTGAGAATTCATCGATGCTGTTAGATGGCCTACTTACAGCTTCTTCAGTTCCAGTCATTTATTCACATCGTCAAATATTGATTGAACATCACCTGTGAGCTGGGTGCTATGCTGAGCTCTGGAAGCAGAGGTAGACTTTCTTCCTGTTGCAAGCAAGGAGGCAGAGTTCAGGGTCACAGAGCTGTGGCAGTCATGCCCAGTGGACTTTGGGTATAGAATTCTTGAGCACTTTGATTTTGTTTAGCTATGGTTGGTTCTACAGTAAAAATGATACTCTTAGTATATCTTTATTTTGTTTTCTTTTATTAAAAAATTTTTTTTAACATTTATTTATTTTTGAGGGAGAGAGAGAGCATGAGCAGGGGAGGGGCAGAGAAAGAGAGGGAGACAGAATCCGAAGCAGGCTTCAGGCTCTGAGCTGTGAGCACAGAGCCTGATGCGGGGCTTGAACTCACGAACCATGAGATCGTGACCTGAGCCAAAGTCGGACACTTACCTGACTGAGCCATCCAGGCACCTCTATCTTTATTTATTTATTATTTTTACAGTTTATTTATTTATTTATTTATTTTGAGAGAGAGAGATAACAAGTAGGAGAGGGGCAGAGAGAGGGAGAGACAGAATCCCAAGCAGGCTTTGCGCCATCAGCCCAGACCTTGATTCAGGGCTCGAACTCAGAGACTGTGAGATCATGACCTGAGTTGAGATCAAGAGTCAGATGCTTAACCGACTGAGCCACCCAGGTGCGTTCCCCTCTAGGCATATCTTTAAAAGTTTGGATCAGGGGCGCCTGGGTGGCTCGGTCGGTTGAGTGACCGACTTCAGCTCAGGTCGTGATCTCACGGTTTGTGAGTTCGAG